TGAGCTAAAGCCACGTGAGCTCTGTTCATGAAAAATACGTTAATTTAATTACTCAACTTGCAATAACTCCAACTTCTGAACTAGCTTTACTTTTACACTTAACACATTGAATGAGTGTTATTCTACGGCAGAGTTTCTAAGTTAGAGAGCTTACGCGAGATGTTATCCGCTCGAAGTCACAAGGCAAATAGACCATTAAGATTTTGAGACGCTATAATGGAAGGGAGGCGTCGGCTGTTGCCACGGCGCGAAGAGATTTCTTTGAACTTATCTTACGATGATTTTCTACTTATTATTACGATTAGTGGAAGTAATGTAATAAAAGTACTGTTAAGAGTATTAATATTAATGTTAGTATGAGAAACATAAAAATTAGTTCTATGTAGCGAGGTATGATATGCGTAACTTTTTTTATGTAGCGAGATCCGCTACACATGTTGGAAACAGACGAAGTAAGCATAATTTCGGCGATGAAGTTATTTTAAGGAATGATAATAGGGCTTCACAGATGATAGGGCTTCACGTGATAATATTTGAAACTTCGCTCCCTTGAAAACAGTAATGAATAGGAATTCAGAACTTCAAGTCTCCTTCATTTCTTTTGATCTATGGTCAAATAGATAGAAGCACAAGTAGGATAGTCGGCGAGAATGACGAAACGATGTGCTTTTTCTTTCTCGTTTCCATATCATCCCTCACGTACAAATGTGTGGGGCTTTTTTTGCCCCTCCACATTAACTGCGTTTAACTCCAATGACTCAGGGAATTTGAACGGCCTAGGTAGCTAATTTGAATCATTCACCAAGGACAGACAGAAACATAGAGATTGGCAGGACGAATTTGGTTGGTTAAGTAAACACACAATTAATTGATAAGTTGATTTATTGGCTTAGCTCACGTGACCTGCTAGAGGGTGATGATGCAGGTGGAATTTGTAGTCCAGGCAGGAGGTGCGGGTCGACGGGCCACCGTGGTTGCGTTTTGAGCGAATATGCGCGTGGTTGCGTGGTGAGGCGCTGTGGACGTTATTCGATGCTCGTTGTGAGGTGTCTGAAGTTGACTGAGCGTGCGTGTAGACGAGTTTTCACCGAACGTGCTTGATGTAACTCACAGAGTATGTTTAGCAAAAGTTCTCTGTGCAAGTTCACTGAATATAAGTCAACAGAATAGGTGCACAGCAAGAATTCACTGAATATAACTTGTATAAGTTAACTGAATAAGTGCACAGCAAGAATTCACTGAATATAACTTGTATAAGCTAACTGAATAAGTGCACAGCAAGAATTCGCTGAATATAACTTGTATAAGTTAACTGAATAAGTGCACAGCAAGAATATAACTTGTATAAGCTAACTGAATAAGTGCACAGCAAGAATTCGCTGAATATAACTTGTATAAGTTAACTGAATAAGTGCACAGCAAGAATTCCCTGAATAAAACTTGTATAAGTTAACTGAATAAGTGCACAGCAAGGATTCACTGAATATAAGTTAACCGAATAAGTGCACAGCAGGAATTCACTAAATATATGTTAACTGAATAAGTGCACAGCAATAGTTCACTGAACAATAGTTAACTGAATAAGTGCACAGCAAGAGTTCACTGAACATAAGTTAATTGAATAAGTGCACAGAAAGAGTTCTCTGAACATAAGTTAACTGAATAAGTGCACAGCAAGAATTCACTGAATGTTCACGGATGAGCGTCGGTAGACAGGGACGGCGTAAGGGCGCGGCAAAATGGCGGGGTGCGAGTTGACGGGAAAATGCTGGCTTGGGACGCCGAGGTTCCCAGCTGCAGGTTGCTGGTTAGGGCTGCAGGTTGTGGGTTGACGCCGGTTACGGTTGTCTTGCGTTGCAGGATACAGGTTGTAGGTTGCCGGGTGCAGGTTGCCGAATGTTAGCCGATGTTGTGATACTGCGAAATAAGGCCTTTGTTAATACGCTATTCACATTTCACGACACCATTTCACAAATGAGCTAAAGCAACGTGAGCTATGTTCATGAAAAATACGTTAATTTAATTATTCAACTTGCAATGACTCCGACTTCTGAACTAACTTTACTGTTACACTTTACACATTGAATGAGAGCTATTCTACGGCAGAGTAGAGTTTCTAAGTTAGGGAGCTTACGCGAGATGTTGGCGGCTCGATGTCTGAGGGCAAATAGACCGTTAAAATTTTGAGAAGCTACAAAGGAAGGGAGGCGTCGGCTGTTGCCACGGTGGAAGAGAGATTTCTCTGAACTGTTCCTACGATGATTTTCTACTTATTAATACGATAAGTGAAAGTAATGTAATAAAAGTACTGTTATGAGTATTAATAATAATGTTAGTATGAGCAACATAAAAATTAGTTCTACGTTAGCGAGATATGTTATACATAATATTAGTTTTACAGTATGTAGCGAGAACCGCTACAAATGGGCTTCACGTTTCCGAAACATTTGGCCGGATCAGAGCTGTAAAATATGTTCTATTAAGTGAAATAAACTATTTCTGAACAAAATGAAGGCTTGCAAAAGCAGTAATTTAAATAAACTTCAATTCAAGAACCTTTCCAAATCACATGATTTTTATGTCGACGTATTTTTTTAGGCCTACATTGAATTTTAAATTTAGACATGTATGAAAATTTAGACCTGATTTTGCTAGCCGAGAAATCTATGAATTGAAATAATCATGTGAAAACCTCCACTCTTAATCTGATAATGAAAATAAAATATTATGTAACTTTGCTATCCTTCTATTGTAGAGGTAACCAACTAAACCAATTTTACAAAGACTATGCTTAAAAGTTGATAATGAAATCTTTAATTCAGTCAATATATTTTACTCACGGTGCCTTGTAATTTAATATATGGCTGGTGCTGACGTGGTGTTGCAAGTATGAAGAGATCGGGAGCGCAGCCGTACACCACCAATTTTGTGCACCAATAAGCCCTGAATCGAACGCCTTGAATCTCTCCGGACGTCCACCAATCAGCCGTGCACCACTCGGCTTTATCCTCCTCCGGCCTTGACCACCACCTGCCGTGCACCTCCAGGCCGCGGATCGAATCTGACTTCCGGGCATCGCTAAATTACGTAATTTTATGTTCACCGCATCTGAGGTTAGGTTTCAGATAGCATAGTTCTGTTGCAAAATTTATCGTCCTTCGACTAGTGGCCGTTCGACCGAGGGCTGGTTCGACACACGGCCTAGATACGGACGGCTTGAAATGTTGAAAGCTAGTACGTTCCGTAAGGCAGGAATCATGATGGTCCATTACATCCAGGGCAGTTGTGGTCTTCGGCAGGCGACCCAAGAGATCCACCGCATTCTATACTTTGATGGGAGCGCAGCCGTGCACCACCAATTTTGTGCACCAATAAGCCCTGAATCGAACGCCTTGGATCTCTCCGGACCTACACCAATCGGCCGTGCACCACTTAGCTTTGTCCTCTTCCGGCCTTGACCACCACCAGGCCGCGGATCGAATATGACTTCCGGGCATCGTTAAATTACGTAATTTTACGTTCACCGCATCTGAGGTTAGGTTTCAGATAGCATAGTTCTGTTCCAAAATTTATCGTCCTTCGACAAGTGGCCGTTCGACCGAGGGCTGGTTCGACCCACGGCCTAGATACGGACTGCTTGAAGTGTTGAAGGCTACGTTCCGGAAGGCAGCAATCATGATGGTCCATTACATCCAGGGCAGTTGTGGTCTTCGGCAGGCGACCCACCTTGAATACTTACTCCGCGGCCGTCCGCGCTCGTCCGACTTCCTCCGGCGTCCGCGCTCATCCGACTACCACCAGGGGGATGCATGCCAGAGGCCAGCATTGCCAAGAGGTGCTAAGAATAGGAAGATCCTGAGATAGGCAGGGAGCTAGAGTTAGGCAGGGTTGCGTACTGATTGAAGAAACTGTGAAGCCCAGAAAGTGCTACGTGAAGAAACTACTTAGGCAAATATAACTGAAAACCCTGTCGTGGGGCCACATTGGACAAGTCTTCAGAGGCTCCCACAAATCTGAAACGAAAGAAAAGAAAGACCAGCATATCTTTCATCCTCCTTTCCGTGCGTAAGCCTGCTAAAGGGCAGAGTAGACTAAGGGATTATATGTTAAAAGCCAATAGTACAAATCCCCTTCATGGAAATTAACCAGCGAGCTAATGAGAACTTGAGAAGTAAGCCACCAATACAATCGCTCTACGCCGTATTGAAAACCGTCAACAGCTCTATCCCATGCCGTCTAACCTCCTCACGATTTTCGGTAAGCAACTCCCTACGCCATACCGCTGCTGATACACAGCCAGCACTCCAGCCCGTCCTTTCGTCGCAGCTGTTTTCCCCCGGCATAACTCTACCTCCACGCATACCCCGTCTCCCCGCCTTTTTTCACTGACTGCCGGACGGCTTTTCTTAGTTTCTGCTCACTTGACTGCATTACGCTATGAAAAGAGGATCTATAGGAGTTGTAAACTAACCTAACCTAACTTAACCTAACCTAATTCGGATAAGCATCAAAGGTCTGCGGGAAAAGCCTCCAGGTAGTCATGCGATAATGGTGGAGAGTTGGGGTAAGTGTGGGGGGAAGAAGATGCTGGGGGATAGTAAGGCAGGGAAACAGTGACGCGGGGTTAACGTCTTGCGGATTAAGTAAGGTGATGACGCATTACCGTTTGGTACAGTTCACATTTGCGGCAATGCAGTGTGGTCAGCGGACACTTAGGATAATAGCATGTGTAAGAAGTGATGGTATGGGTTATAAAGCATTGGAGAACAACGTATTGACCGTTAACTATGTGGAGTAGCAGCTTGTGTGCTGAAGCAGTGTTGGTTTAAAGTTCGTGTGGTGAGATAGGTAAATTGACTACAGCTGCTTAGGTGCCAGGATGACAATATCTATAGCATTTAGATGGTTGATGTTGGCTCCAGGGCTGATTTGAGCGTTAATTTGCTGGTCTACGGCTGCGCACCCCCACCAGGCACCAGCGTCCACCCTCGCCACTCAGTGCTCACCTGGTAAAGATATCAAAGCCATTGGCATATATTGCTGTTTGCATGCGCCAAATAGAGAGGTAAATGTATCTGTTGATGCAAATAGAAACTAATTATCTTTAATTTAACTTTCATTGTCATTGGTTCAAGTCGCCAAGATCGAAAGATGGACGTTCTTTAATCTTTGTAACTAACCGCTCTAAGGTCTCCCTTTCCTTTCCCTGCCTCTTTAATCTTTATTCCAACTTTAATTTTTGGATCGAAATTAGGCCCTAGGTGGATCAAAATTTAATATATGAACCTTAAAAATTATAATTCCATCCTAACTTCACTCTCACTGTAGTAAAAAAATATTTGCTGTATTAAAAAAATTTACCTACATAAAAGTTGCAGTTGCACCCAGCCTGATGGGCCCTGACCCAGGTGTTGGCTTGAAAACTTTATTTGCATAATTTACATACCTCAATTAAAGAAAATGACAGCCATTTCTGCAAGCCCGGGGCTATTCAGAACACCCCAAAGGGCCAAAAATGAATTTACAGTAGAACCTCAGTAAGCAAAGGCTCCAACCAGTTAAGAAAAAAATTGATTAAAAACAAAAAATTCACTTATCAAAAAATTGGATCATCATCGGTCATCACAAAATTGTGCATAGAATGTCTGATGTCATATATAGAATTGTGTACCAGGCATCATAGAATGAAAAGTAATTGACTAAAACGGTCACTAAAACATTCCTTTCTGTTTCAGATATGTTTTTCACAATCTTTTTTTTATAGGAAATTCACTTATGTAACCCAATTGAATAAAATGGTGTGAAATTACAAGCCGTCCTGTAAGCTTACAGATACAGAAAAAATGCTATAAGGCTGCTGATATGAAGCTTGCAGTGGACAAGGTTGTTGTAAATGCTCAATGGCATGTTCCTGGATATGGTAATATTGCATCAATAATATGGTAATATCGCATCAATAATATGGTAATCAATGTATATGGTAATATATCAATAAAGGAAAAACAAGTAAAAATAACAGAAAATGTCATTTATTCTATCTCTACATCATCTACAACGAAAGAAGACTTCAGAGTACTGTTAGTAATGGATGAATACACTCTGCATGCTTCAAATATTTTAAAATGAAGTTTTATTGCAAGTGTCCCAAGTAGCTGTAGCCCCATTTGACGGGGCTACTCGGGACACTCTTTTTTCGCTTCTGGCACCTTATAATTAGCATATGTAATTTTTTTTAAGATGCCATTCGATAGCCCTCGCAAAAAGCTATAAAATGAGCATAAACTTGTTTATGAAATGTTTCATGGTAAGAAGTTATTAACAAAAAACGCTCAAAACCGTCCCCAGTAGCCCCGGGGCCCCGGTTGACGGTATAAAGCATTGGAGAACAACATATTGACCATTAACTATGTAGAGTAGCAGCTTGTAGTGCTGAAGCAGTGTTAGTTTAAAGTTTGTGTGGTGAGATACTGAGATAAGTCAATTGACTGATTTGACTACAGCTGCTTAGGTGCCAGGATGACAATATCTATAGCATTTAGATGGTTGATGTTGGCTCCAGGGCAGATTCGAGCGTTAATTTGCTGGTCTACTTCTGTGCACCCCAGGCCAAGTGCATTCAGCTGTTGTCCGTTGACAAATAAAGACCGTTAAACGTGCTCCCAAAAATCAAAATCTCTGTTTTCTTGAATGAGTGCATGTGTCATGGCTGTACCAGTCCAGTGTCAATGCCGCTGCACCATTCATCAATCCTAGGTCCTGGCGCTATTCCCAAAAACACTACTCATTAGTCATTACTCAAAATCATACTCGTGAGTCATGGGAACGCAGCCATGCACCACCAATTTTGTGCTCCAATAAGCCCTGAATCGAATGCCTTGGATCTCTCCGGAGTCCGGACATCCACCAATCAGCCGTGAACCACTCGGCTTTGTCCTCCTCTGACCTTGCGTAGAACCTGCCATGCATCACCAGGCCGCAGATCGATTATGACTTGCAGGCATCGTTTAATTACGTAATTTTACGTTCACCGCATCTCAGGTTAGGTTTCAGATAGCATAGTTCTGTTCCAAAATTTATCGTCCTTCGACAAGTGGCCGTTTGACCAAGGGCTGGTTTGACGCATGGCCTAGATACAGATGGCTTGAAGTGTTGAAGGCTACATTTCGGAAGGCAGGAATAATGATGGTCCATTACATCCAGGCCCGTCCCAGGGCAGTGGTGGTCTTTGGCAGGTGACTCGACACCCGTGAGTCATGAGTTAACCAACTCTCAAGTTCTCAACTTATACTTAAGTAATTCTGCAGAAGTGATTTCACTAGTCCTCCACTCCTCCTCATGAGCTGTGGCTTTATGGATTTGCCAGTTGTCATAGTGACAAACCAGCAATTTTTTAGAATGAGGTTATTTTTAATTTACTAATTTTCTCAATATTTAAACCAATATATAGTCAAATGGGGTAAGACAGGATCACAGCCTTCATGGGGTAAGAAAGGACCAGCCCATGGTGTGCATTCTAATTGCACTAAATTTAATTTGACAAAAGAATATGTTAGAGCAATCATTGCCTGTCATTTCAGTGTTTGTTTCAACCCTCATCTGCAAATATTGAATTTCTGGCTTTTTTTAAAGTAAACCTATGTGAAGAAGGGTCACAAAATAGTTAACCCTGTTTAGGGAATAAGCTCTGTCTAATGACAAAAATTTTTTTGGCCAGGTTTGTGGATATAGCCTGTAGGCAGGTAACCTCAAGTAATAAGCAACTTTTGAGACATACTTGGCATTCCTACCTGCTACCATCACTGCCTGGCATGTATTCTAAAATGGGGTAAAAAAGGACCAGACATGGGATAAGACAGGACCACTAAATGATCCTGTTTTACCCCACAAACGGTCCTATCTTACACCACATATAGTCCAGTCTTGCCCCACAAATGGTCCTCTATTACCCTACAGTATATCAAAAATAGTTTTTAAATGAATATATTATTATGCAGTAACTGGAGTATTTTGGTCAAAATTTTCATCTTTTGCTCACTCTCACCGAATTTCTTTGAAAATTTCAATCTCGAATAAGGCATTATTGCTAAAATACTGGAGTTTCTTGCAAGTTTCTTGGACTTCTTATTATTGCTAGCAAAAGTAAAGTATAAAATGATAATTAACTATGCCAGCTATATAATATCATCCATATTTTTTGCTCAAAAGACTAAATGGATCATATGGCTGCATTTAATTTCAACAAAGTTTTCTCGTGACAAAACCTCCAATGTGACTGATATTAGAGTTGACTTCCCACATTACAAAACAGTAACAAGTGGTTGTTTAATCACATAATGTGTTTCTAGATGGAAACCTTGTAACATAAGAATTACCAGTTGGTCCTGTCTTACCCCAGCCTGGTAAGTGAGCTTACCAGCTCACTTTTTTTAATCAGTACAGAAAACTATGTTAGATGCAAAACGTCTGAGTAGTAGCTTAGAAGCCCATTGCATAACTACACCTTGTGATAGGTTTAGGGTTTTTTAGTTATTCATGGTATAGATGCTACAGGCTTGTTAGTGATTTCGGTCCTGTCTTACCCCATCTGACTATATCTTAGTATGATATTGCTAATAGGCTGAGTCCTAAGAGTCTACAACTACAAAGTAGACCAGACCTAAGTCTACAGTACAGGCATAGTGGCAAACCAGTGATTCTTTAGAATCATTTCATGTTTAATTATCTCATTCACTCGAGATTTAAACCAATATCATATGTATGAGTATGATGATGCTGGTATCCATGATGCTTTGCTGGTCTAGTCCAGGTCTACTAACTCTACAGTCTCTACTTATAGGCCTAGCTGTTATAGGACTTTAAATTGAACTGGATTGTAAATTTTGCTGGTGATGCATCACCAAAAATCTTTCAATATTCACCCACTTTCTGCACCCTGGGAGGCTGGGACTTCAAACAAACTTTGAGGGCACATCACACTAAGATTACTAGCAAGCAAAAAATAAATAGACTCAAGAAAGGATGGGAACAGATAAAATCACAAAGCACTAGATTCATAGGCTCCAAGCCTCCACAAAGACCTGTAGATGGTACACAGGTACAGTTCAACAAGGTCCACTGTTGATGACTAGCACAATCGTGTTCTAGAAGACAAATGCAACACATGCTGCACACTGCTGCAGACATTCTGTGAGATAAGGAGGCGTATGCTGCTAAATGCGCAGTCAGTAAAATTGTGCAATTTTGGCATCACATAGTCAAATTTTTGCTTATTGCTCATGCAATATATTGCAATATTGCTTATTGCTTGCTTATTCCAAGACCATTTTTTGTTTTTTTAACAAAAACCCCCAAACTCAAAAACTATTTGACATAGAAGAATTTTGTCAATGGGCATTAAAGGCCTAAAACTGAGGCTACATAACACAATAGAAAGATATAAAAAGTTCACATATCTAATAGATTGAAAAATTAAAAATGTGACCCACGAGAAAAAGCTATTGTTTAAAGCCTGTCAGAGTACCCCCTCCAATTTTTTTATTTTTTGGTAAAATAACTCCAGGTTTTGATGCATTGTAGTAAAACTCTTCTAGTTACATATGCAAATGACAAATTTTAGGAAAGTGTCATAGTTTGCAAATGAAGGGCACCACCCCCAAATGGGGGAACTTGACCACCTAATGTCAGCCCTGACAGGGTAACATAGACCAGCTTGGAAGTTGATATAAAATTACCATATATAACATATTTTTTGTTTGACAACCTATTAATGTTTTTTCTTTATGTTTCAGACTCTACAGAGTCTTATATATGGTAATTTTAACTTAATTTCCAAGCCAGTCAATATTACCCCATCAGGGCTGCCATTAGGTAGTCTCATTTCCCTCATTATGGGGCGGCGCCCCCCATTTGCAAACTATGGCACTTTCCTCAAGTTTCTCATTTGCATATGTAACTTGAAGAGTTTTACTACAATGCACCAAAACCTGGAGTTATTTGGAGTTATTTTACCAAAAAATATAATTGATTTTACCACCCAGTCTAAGATACCCCAAGAGCTGGGGTAACAATGACCATCACTTTTTTTAAATTACATAAAAACTATGAGAGGCAGGAGCCAGCAATTCATGGTAAGGGAACCTTGAGTATAGACCTGTATTTTGCGTGTTTCCAGTCAATTTTAATTTAGCTAGTAGAAAATGGCATCATTTAAAAAAAATTGGTCTAAGTTACCCCATTTTACAGTATCTGTAAGCTTACAGGATGGTTTGTAATTTTGCACAATTTTAATCAAGTCAAGTGATTTTACTATAACAAAAAATATTGTAAAAAAAACATACCTGAAACAAGAAGGAATATTTTAGTGACAACCATCATATTTTTTGGAGAAATAAGTCATTGTTTAGGTTCATAACTTTTCATTCTTTGTTGCCCATTGCTCAATTCTATCTGTGACATTCTATGCACAATTTTGTGATGACCGATGCAGTAATTTTTTATTAAGTGAAATTTTTTTCACTGAGTGAGGTAAATGTAATCAAAGTTCTTTGTTGGTAAATAATTTAAGCTAACCTAGGTTCTACTGTAATGCAATTTTAGGGGTGTCTCTTATTACCCCGGGGGGGTTGTCCCTTATTACCCCCGTTTTGTGGAAATGGTCACCATTTTTTCTTGGAATGAGATATGCAAATTCTGTCAATCGCGTTTTTAAGCCAACTTTAGGTGCAACTTTTATGTAAGCAAAATTTTTCAATGCAACAAATATTTTTTCTGCTACAGACCTTAGCAGAGGTACTTTTCCAAAGTCTCACTATTCACACTTTTTTCAGGGATTTTTTAGAGGTAATAAATGTATGATTTCTCAACTTGCTTTATTTTTTTCTTATTTGCTTTATTTATTTTATTCTATTTTAATTGTTTAGCTGCTACAACATTTCTACAAAATGTTGGAAAACTGTCCCTTTTTACCCCGCCCGTCCCTTTTTACCACATTTGATGGTACCACATATCCCAGGTTATTTCTGTAAAGTATCAAAAGGGCATATACATGAATTCATATATTTATAATGTGTACTAATGTAATATATATAAAATATATTATATATATTACCTATATTATATATTGTATTATATCTTATATTATAATATATACAAAAAGTATACTTTCATATGTTTATGTGTCCCCTGAAATAAAAGATTATTGAGACATTTTGCCTATCATAGTAAATATCAAAGTAACCACTCTTTTTCCCTAATAAAAATATGTTGATAGCTGTGCTAGATTTTTAAGTTTTTTAAATAAATTATGAAGTTTTACTTAATAAGTATATTACCATCAAATGGGGTTAATAAGGGATGGTTTTGAGTATTTTTTGTTAATAACTTCTTATAATGAAACATTTCATAAACAAGTTTGGGCTCATTTTAAAGCTTTTTGCGAGAGCTATAAAATGGCATCTCTGAAAAAAATTCCATATGCTATTGATAAGGTGCCAGATGCAAAATAAAAGCATCCCGAATTACCCCTGGGAACAGAGTAATCCGGAACGCTTGAAATAAAACTCAATTTTAAAACGTTTGAAGCATGCAAAGTGTACTCATCCATTACTAACAGTACTCTGAAGTCCTCTTCTTCCTTTATAGAAGATGTAGATGCAGAATAATTGACACTTTTCTGTTATTTTTACTTGTTTTTCCTTTATCGATATGATATTACCATATCCATACATTATCATATTATTAATGTGATATCACCATATCCATGGACATGCCATTGTGCATTTAATATGACCTTCTTCACTGCAAGCTTCATATCAGCAGCCATGTTGCATTTCTTCTGTAAGCTTACCATATAGGAATGCTTGTAATTTCACACCATTTCAATAGGGTCAGGTGAATTCACCAGGGTTGGTGATTTTTTTGATTTTTTTTAAAAAATCAAAAATCAATGATTTTTTTTATTTTTTCATGATTTTTTTGATTTATTTGATTTTTTTAACTTTTTTGTCTTTTTGATGTGTTATTTTTTATGTTGCAATTAGCCTACTAACAATAACAGTATATGGATCATAATGTATGGCTAAAAAGGGCACTTATTGCCTTCAATAATGGCCAACAGGCCAAGGAGGTATTTACCACTTACGGATTTTTGGGTAAACAATTATTGGTACTATGTCTATTCATTAGCTTTGTAAAGTTTGTATGGAGCAAGGTAATAAGCTAAATATTGACCATTTAACTGGCTTCAATATACTAAAACACTTCAGGAATGCAGATCTTCTAAACATTGAAGAGTCACATAACAGATAGGTAGCTGATAGCACAGTGCACAGCACTATCAATAGATCCACTAGTTTTATGTCCTAAAAATCTATCAGACTCTACCCTCTATACACACCGACTAGTAGTGACTGTAGCTGATAGCACAGTGCACAGCACTATCAATAGATCTACAAGTTTTATGTCCTATTCAGACTCTACCCTCTATACACACCGACTAGTAGTGACTGTAGCTGATAGCACAGTGCACAGCACTATCAATAGATCTACAAGTTTTATGTCCTATAAATCTACCAGACTCTACCTTCTATACACTCTGACTAGTAGTGACTGAGTGACTGACTGCACTGTTCCCATTTAATTAAGACCAATAAACCAATACTAAACGTAAACTGAACGATAACCAAACAAAACTCATACGACTTGAAACAAGACTTAAGTAATGAGAAAATCTAATACTGTTTGAAATAAACATGTGCACAATTCAAATATTTTATATCCATTCACTGCATTTAATTATTTTATATATAGTCTTATAATTGTAATTGTTTCGTTTCTAGCTTTAAATTCACATATTTAAAGATTGAAATTAAATATTTTAATTAGAATACTCGTATTAGGGTGGTAAATCTTTCCAATTGCCTAAAAGGTCAATACAATCTCAACATCTCAATATACCGGTACAAGGTGGGGGAGAACCGATTGAGCAGTTTTGAGGTAAAATTAAAGAGTAATGGAGGTACATAAAGAAGAAAGTTTATTTTCCTAGAAGTTAGCATAACATACCATTTAGAATACTTATGTTTTGAAAACAATATCTGGAAGATGAGGGCTGTTAGCTGCAACACACTGTTGGAGTCGTTTTTGGAGGAGGGAGTAACCGTGATAGTGAATTCCGATCGCTATGCTGCAATGTTGCAAAATTTCTTGCTGCCCATGATGGAAAACATTGTTGAAAATGATGCATTGCAAGACGTGTGGTTCCAGCAGGATGGGGCTACAGCTCACACAGCCCAAATGTCACCCAATGTTTTGAAACACATGTTTCCCAGAGGTCTGGTGTCTCTGAGGGTTTCAATCAGTTCTGCCCCACCCTGTATAAGCTAGCTAACACATTTAAATTGTATATTGTAATCAATATATAACAAATAGTCAAATAGTTAAAGACTACTTATAGCCTCATGAGAATTAGTTAAGCTGCAAGCTATGTACAATGTATTGCACACTTGATGCCTCTGTACCAAAAACATTCCATTTATTGGAACCTAATATACACTAAAGGCAACAAGTTTATATACCAATTTGTCATTTATAGTACATTTATACTAAACCATGAATAACAATACCTCAATATAAATTAAAGACTGCCACTCAATATATTTTAATATATGAAAAAATCAAAAAAATCAAAAAAATAAAAAAAATCATGATTTTTTATAAAAAAAATCATGATTTTTTATAAAAAAAATCATGTGATTTAATCACATGATTTAATCATTTTGATTTAATCATTGCCAACCCTGGAATTCACTATAACAAAGAAAGATCATAAAAACATGCCTGTAGCAGAAAGGCATATTGTAGTGACAACCATCATATTTTTGGAGAAATGAATAATTGTTTAGGTTAATTACTTTACATTTTAGGTTGCCCGATACACAATTCTATCTATGACATTCTATGCACAATTTTGTGATGACTGATGATGCACTAATTTTTTTATGATGCTACACTAATTATGATGATGCACTAATTTTTTTCACTAAGTGAATTTTTTTGCTGAGGGAGATAAATGTAATCAGAATTTTTTGTTGTCAAATGATTTTTTGGTTAACTGGAGCATTTTCTAGCTGAGGTTCAACTGTAAATGCGTTTTTAGGGTTGTTCTTTATTACCCAATCCTGCAGAAATGGCCGCCATTTTTTTTTAAATGTGATAGGTAAATTCTGTAAATTGGGTTTTTAAGCAACACCTGTGTGCAACTTTTATGTAAGTAAAATATTTTAATATGGCCAATAAATTTTTTGCTACGGACCTTTGCAAAGGTACTTTTCCACAATTGTACTTTTCACACTTATTTTTCAGAGATTTTATAAAGGTAGTAAATTTATGATCTCCTAACTTGCTTTATGCTACATAGCTAATATAAATGTTGAACTTTATGCCAGTATTTTTAGTTTTGCAATATTTTGATTAGTTCAGCTGCTAAAAAATTTCTACAAAATGTGGGACTGTCCCAATTTATCCCGCCCGTCCCTTATTATCCCGTTTGACAATATTATATAAAAATTTATATATATATATATAATATAGGGTAAAATGGGGTAACTTAGACCACTTTTTTTTATATAAATGATGCCATTTTTTTACTAGCTAAATTAAACTTGAATTGAAACATGCAAAATACAGGTCTATACTCTAGCTTCACTCACCATAAATTGCTGGCTCCTGCCTCTCATAGTTTTTATGTAATTTCAAAAATTTGTGTTATGTAGCCTCAGTATTAGGCCTTTAATGCCCATTGACAAAAATTTTCTATGTCAAATAGTTTTTGAGTTGTGGGGGTTTTTGTTGAAAAAATGAAAAGTGGTCTAAGTTACCCCGCCGGTCTAAGTTACCCCATTTTACGGTAGGTAATTAATATAACATATTAATATTATTATTAATATTATTAAAACAGATTATTAAAATTATGATTTTCCCTACAGATTTATCAAGTTCATTTATTTACTTTTCATCAAAATAGCTGTTCATCATGGCCACAAAAGTATCAAACAACAATGGCACTGTTGATTTGACAGAATCCATGTCAGACAGTGGAGTTGGGGTTGCATCTAACTTTCAAGAGTCTTCAACAGATTTTATAACCTTGGGTATGATTATTTTGTTATATTACAATGATATGGTTAAAACCAATTACAATATTTTAAATATATTATTTATTACTAATTATATTGATTACTAATGTAATATTTGTACAATATTATTGATTACTAACTTCATTCAGAGCAGAATTAGAAATGTTATTTTTTCCTATTAGTTTTAAAGGTTGACAATTTTTTCCCCAGATGACTCCGAGCAGTTCACTCTTTCCACCAATATTTCAAGTCAGCCAGCATGTGATGGCGACAGCCAGGATGATGGGCCTGAGGAGGTCCTGGTGGTCCCCAAGTACACAACGGTGAGCAGCATCTTACCTCACCATTTTGACTGCTGAATTATATGAAATTAGAGTGAAATAGCCTTTTCTCTATGAGTAGTTACCAAACTTTCTTTAAAAATATATAGAGTAATCATAGTGGTGCTATGAAAGTGATTGCTGCTGACAAAGATTGAAGTATTAATAAAAACAGCAATTATTTGGAATCATCTTAAAAAAAATTTAAAATCCCAAATCAAATCAGTTGTCTTCCATTTCTGTTGGAAATTAGTTGGTATTGTAGACAAAATTTTTATATTTTGGTTTGCTAAGGGAAACTAAGTGAAATTAATATAAAGTAAAATTTTAGGCCACATTCATTCTGTTTTACTAATAAATTTTGATGTCAATATTCACACTGCTTGTGCAAGGACATAGGTATCATGCAGACTCCATCAGTTGTTGTGCACATGTGTTGTTGGTTCAATAATGTTTTATTGGCCCTCATTTTTTCATATCTAAGGAAACCAGAATTTTGTTCCGGAACAGGCTTTCCACCATGTTCAAAGTATTGAAGAGATCTAGTGGTACCTATTCTCATTTCTTCCTGTGCAAGAAAGTTGGTGGTGCAGAGTAGGTAGGTATACATATCCATAAATCTCTATTGCTCTGTTTGGAGCTTTTCAGTAATGCTATCTTAAGTATTTAGTTAAGAAATATATAGAATATTTGATCAATATTTTGTGAAATATGCCCTAGTTCACCTCTTCAAATATTGCAGGTTTTCACGGACTTCCTAACAGTACCAGAGTTCAGTATGGAGACGGGCAAGCTTGTTAACGATGCTCGTCCTAAACGCACCTGCTTCAACTGCTTGGGAGACCATAACGTGACTGAGTGCAAAGACCCACTCAACCAAAGTAAAATAGCGCAAAACAGACGAGCTCATATGAGCAGGCGGCAAGGCAGCTCAGTGTGAGTTGTGTGTCTGGTGTCGCTTTTGCTGTTCTCTTAAAGTCTTGGTGTAGAATAGCTATTGTTTAGTTCTCAAATTAATCATATGACTTCGTGATTGGTGCTAATATTATGGCTTTCTCTTGAATGGAGTTGTAAAATACTTACCTATTTGGTTAAGATGCAGTGCAGCATCAAGAAGGGTATTTGCACCCACGTCGTAAAATGAATCGATGGGCATTTTATTGATGTGAAGGAAGACTAACAGAGCATGCAACTGCCATGTACCGATTACAAAATGTATGACACCGTAATTGAGTTGATCATTCAAACCATTCTATTTTTTATTAATAATTAAGTAGGTCCAAAAGTTAGCTTGGAAATTGTGAAAATCTATTCTAATTTTTTAACATGTGGCCATCAAATACCTTGAATGTTTCTAACTATAACATGAATGCGCCAGGTATATAGGTATATATTTATGTATTTGGTCTGATACTCTTGACATTTTTTTCATATTGCAAACGAACGATAACGCATCACGCATTCTATTTAAAGGTATATGGCTTCCCCTTATTTATTTAATCTCTTATTATTCCCTTTCATAATCCAGGTATAATCGTTCATTCATGATCATATGTCACGCAGTATTCTTAAATTTTCATTGTTCATGCAGAGGCACATTGCAAGCAACACGCGTGAATGCTTTCAATATCACTGCTTGTTCTTGAACAATTGAGGTTATTTATGTGCAGTCGTTACCACGAGCTGGCCAGCAACAAGTTTGGCCACTTCACCCCGGGCGTGATGTCCCCAGAGCTTCGGTATGCCCTGGGCTGTCGACCTGATCAACTGTCTGAAGTCTTCTACAGGATGCGTCTGATCGGCTACCCTCCTGGGTGGCTGCTGGAAGCCAGGGAGCAGCAAGGGGAAGTCGCTCTCTATGGCAGTGATGGCAGAGGTAAAGTATGCCTTGCACTTATCCAATCATTCGTATTAGTAATGGATTTTCTAAATTCATTGAAAATCAGTTGATGCTGGGCTAAAAAGTGTTGATGTTGGAAGCCAGTGAGCAGCAAGGGTAGTAGCTCTCTGAGAAGTAATAGATTTATTTAATTTTTATTTTTTATTAATCTTTTTATGCTGTGCTGAAAAGTGTTGATGAATAGAGGACAATTATGACTGGTTTGCTGCGAAGCTGCATAAATGTTTTATGAAGCTAACGTGAATTAAGGGTGCAAATAAATAAACTCACTCATACGAGGAAGACAAAACTGGTACTGAAAGTTTGGATACAACGACACAATAGAAAGAGCAATTATATTGCCGTTAACGGCCGGTACCTCGAAGAAATTTGGCACAGAAGCTGCTTCCATAAAAGCAGCTGTTATCTGCTAATATGAAAATTTTCAATCTCCTGTAAAAATAATACAACAGAAGTTTCCTCTTTTGAAGATGAAGATCACGTGACATTGCAATTCAATAATTAATATAAACATGTCAGCGCCGTTCTAATTTCATGTCTTATGATGAAAGCGTGCAAAAAAAAGCACTCAATACTCTCTATTTGTGCCGGCAGCTGTGACGATGCTGGATGGAGAGGACGGTGAGGTCACGGGTACCGCCAAGTACCGTCCTGAGAAGCTCATCGAGTTCCCTGGGTTTAATGCTCCTCTACCTGAACAATTCTATGAGGTTAGCAGTCGTGAAGATGCCTAACTTTTCTGTATTGATGGTTTTAATAGCCCTAACTAGCCTTAGTTTCCTGAATTTGATGCTCGGCCCGAACGAATTTTTAGGTCGGATTTACACCATCTCGCCGGGCACGTGCCAGTCATAGTCCAGTTCATTATTCTTCAATGCATTTCTATGCAAGTATTCACACCAGCTGTGCTAGGCACCTGCCATGGCATGGTGTGAATAGGTGATTAGAAATCCCGCAATGGAAATCTGTGAGCCAAGTTCTGAACCGCCAGCTTCTATGGAAATACATTAAAGAATATTGGACTTGACTGTGACTGGCATATGCCCGGCAGTATGGTGTGAAGCAGGCTTAATTATGTATTCATTGGCTGTGAAAATATTGGTTTGTGGATTATTTTAATTTTCATGGAATTATGCGAGCAAATAAAAAGCAGGTGTAAGTTTAGTATTGTTATCTTTTGTACACAGAGAGTTGTCTTGGTCATCTCTATGAGTTTGGTCCTGGAAATAATTTGAACCTGATCTCAGAGTTGTATTTCCTGAGCTGCAGCAGCAAAACTTAACGGGAAAACATATATATTAATTTTATTTCTTCGAGTTAATATTGGCATCCCGAAGCCTGGAATATTGTTCTTGCCACTGTTTTTGATGGGTAACTACCGCTAGTTTCGCGTTGATTGTGATGATTGCATGCCCAAAAAATGGTTGTATGCCACTGTAGTATTTTCCATTGTTGTGCCATGTCCTGCAGTCGTGTGAAATAACTGCAGACCCAGAGTGCCGTAACACGATGGATGACATGAAACAACGACTCTTATTTTAGGACAAATAATAGAGATTTTTTAGATTTTGTTGTTTGATTATTTGCATTAAATGATGACTGACAAAGTTTTGAATTTATCAGGAGGGCCACGTGTACAACTTGCCACCCATTCAGTCACAACACTGCGTGCACCGCTGGCGTGAGATCATGAACAAGAACAAAGTTACGCCCTACAGGAAACGTCGGATGCGCCCCATGGACGCCGACAACACTGCCGACCTAGAGACCGCATTAGAGATCTGTGAGCCACGTTCTGACCCGCCAGTTTTGTCTTGCTGTGTATTGACTTTTCCTATCGATATGTTGGTGGTATTCGTATTAAGAAGCACAGTAACTGGTCAACATCAGTATACATTGGGTGAATCCTTATCCACTGATAGATACATTTAGTGTTGTTTTTTAATCTCTCATCCTCGTACTGGCAATTAGACAAGGGAGAAAAAGGTGATAAGTGTGTTTTTTAGGGCACTAAGGCCCCAGGTAGTTCCACGACCATGTAGCTCGCTGACCAGCCAGAACCATTTTATTGCATTACACGACACCCTAGACAAGCCAGATACTCATTTATCAACCAGAATCAGATGAATACTGAGTTGACCATGAGCTGAGCTTCACGGAAGAACTTGTCCTCAGTGGGACTCGAACCTAGGAGCTGGGTGCGAGAGACAGAGTATCTCACAACTGCACCAATACTTATACTGTTGTTATCGGTATTTAGATTTGAAGGCCTGGTAGCGAGTCCTTAATCAGTAAACAAATGTTAAAATTACTGGCAAGATGAGTTATCCATGAAAATTGTTATTTCAAATTTTTTGTCTCCAAGTTATTTGTGTCCGCTGCTGCTATTTTGAATAAAAATTAATAACTAACGTTTAAACTGCCATGTTAATTCTAATTCAACTTAATTATCCCATGAACATACTATCAATTCCAGTGTTAGTGAACTTATTTTCTATTTCAATATATATCGAGAAGATCCTAGGCTCACAGTTAATTTTATTATCGTGTCTTGATGTGTACAGCTGCCGGGAACAGCGACTCGCCTGGAGGTTCAAATGGACAGCCGCCGTCAGCAAGCCCTGCCACACGACCTGGCAAGCGCCGTTTGGACGAGGTCTGTGACACTAACACTTCGCTTCTCAATGATTATCCTGCAATCTCACTCGCAGGCTTTTTGCTTGTGAGGGACATTTCTTATGAACTTTTGATCTTATCTTTATGAAGTTCAGTGAATTGATGTTGTCCGATTTTTAACACGTTGACTACGATTGATTCATCTTGTACTATTATTTCATTTTTTGTACGGTTTTTAAACAGGGTTGCCAGACGGTTATTTTTTCCGGACAAATTCCGTGATTTAGTTTTTCACAATTGCGTTGGCCGGATAAAATTTATGATAGTGGTACTTCCTAATTAAATTTTAAGTACTGGAAAAAGAAAATAAATGGAATTTTTATAGCGGAACCTACAAATAAACTAGTAGGTATATATTTTGTTATCGGCCTTTTTTGGCCTTTTTTGTTCTCGGATTTGGCCGATTTTAGGCAACCTGAATTATGCACCACTTCGTCCTGGAGAAATACATTTCGTGGTACGCATATGTACCACTTCGTAGTCAACGTGTTATTTCTTGACCTTAAATTTTTTGTAAATCGCTAGTTCATTATTTTGACGATCTTGAAAATTAGGATCTCCTTTGTTTCATTTTTTCAGTCTTGCAGTGCAATAAGTATTGCACGTCATTTCCATTTTATCTACTGTCCATCTTTTTGAATTTTCTTCATAAATCATCATCCTTTTTATTTTTCTTCATCCTTAATTTTTTCAATAAGATGTATTATACTTTACTACTTTTTTCAGTCGCCGGAGGAAGGGGAAGTGTCTTCTGACGAAGAGAAAAATTCAAGCCAAAGCAAGAAGCTCAAATTATCTGACGATGTAGCCGCTGCTGGCAGCTCGCTATTTACTATAGACTTGGAGCCATCACCTCTGGAGGAGAGTGTCACGAGTCCCGCAACTGACATCACCGCAGGAAACGAAAGCACCGCCACTGTAAACGAAAGCGGCTTCTCTACCGTGAAAAGTGACTTCTGCGTTGTAGATGAGTTGCAAACTACAGCAGAAGGAGCTGAGGAAGATGACTTCACTGATCCTGGTCCTCCCGACTCGTCCTCGACGCCTGCTGCTGTTGGAAGGCGTGCGAGACGGCACGTCAAGGCGGCATCCAAGGGCTTCGTAATGGGCGCTGTGCTCCCTAAGTCCATCACTCCCTTCACTTCACTGCCACACCCGGACAAGTGGACGGTCGATGTTACGGACCACATCCTATTTGAAAATTTGCCGGACTCGACCGGCGCCTGGCAGAACATGAAATCTCTCATGCAAAAAGTCAAGAGTAAAGTTAGTGAAATACATGCCGAGAACGATTGATTTTCAATATAGTTTGAAAAGTGTACAAATTGCACAGCATTTTAAAGTATTTTTAATAGGAAGAAGTTTTAGAGTAAGTTATTCTATTATTATGACTGTTGGTTTGTGTCCACTCAGGTGGTTTAGCATTCCTATTTTTTTACCGTTATTGCTGGTCGGTGTTACGTTGCAACTATCTTCAAACCGATAATCTCCTTCGCGTGTTTGCCTAAGTCCGCAATTTAGCTCCATGGGCACCTAAAGCACACGAAACTGTTATCTTGGTATCATTTTTATTTGACCGACACTTAGGATTGTTTTTCCTTCTACACGTTTATCCGCATCCTCTTGAATATTCTGCTATATGCGATGTGGAACATTTGCGTTCGAGTACTAGTGAGTAGCAAGAAATTTCATGGAGGTGATCATATGACTGTCCAGAATTGGCTGCAATGCTGAGCAAGACACGTGCAGAGTATTTGAGGTCGCTCTACTGGTTTTTGGAATTCTAATCTTGGTAATTGAGTTCATTGTTGAAATTTTATTTTCTTGTAGTAGTTGTGCGCAGTGTCGATCGCTTGTGGAAATTATCGAATTTTTCGCTGCTTAATTATTAAAAGCTTTTGTTCAACACTTAAAACTCACGATGACGAAATTTTAGATCATGAATTGATCAATAATTAATGTTGATATTAAATTATGAAATATTAATAAGCTAAAAATCACATTGAAATTGACCACTTTATCTCTTGTTTGGAATCGTGGTAAAATTTCGCGGTGTCTCATACCTTACTTTGTTAGGTGAATAAGTTATTATTTCATTACTTATCTACCTAATTCCTCTTAGACAAAGGATGTGGGCTTGAGCAGCTCTCGTTTGTTATCTCTAACGAGTTGCGTTATTTAGAGCAAATCTTGCAGCGCTAATTGAAACGTTCACCAGACGCACCAGACAGTCCCCAATCCTGGTTGGGAGCGGCTACACAGATAGAATTTCATTCGATTATGCGTTGGTTATTAAACACTATCAAGCAATGTGCGTAATGGAATTACAGAAAGGCTTCTGTTACTGCGTTTTTTACTCTTTCAATAAGGATGTATTATTTGTATTATACATACTTGGAACTTTTTTTTCTTCCCGTTGTCAATACAATCCTTGTACGGCTCAGTATCACGGCTATCGAGTTACGCCTCCTTAGGATTTTAGGACTTCCAGCTGCTTTGAAATACAGTTCTAGCGTTGTAACTTCTTAAACCCTCAGGGGTGACTTCTGACGTGTGTCTGTACTCGTCAGAAGTCCTATGGGATTTCGCGTTCCTAGGGGGGATTGTTCCTGAGCGCCCCACCGTTGAGCTCGCGGTGTCTGACTGCAGGTCTCAGTTGTGGGGTTAAGTTATTGTGTAGGTAGGATTCCTTATATTAAGTTATTTATATGTAGGTAGGATTCCTTACATTAAGCTATTTATATGTAGGTAGGATTCCTTACATTTCCCTTCTCTGTCTCTCGTGCTGGCGGCCGACGTCCCGTGTAAGCGATAAGCGTTCGATTGTCTTAGTTTCAGTTGCTTTTCACCTGTCCCTCCTTGTCACTTCGTCTCTTTGAGATGCTAACCCTGCTTCTCTCGAGCCATCTTCAGCGGGCTGGACAATTGAGACCTTCCGCTCCTTGTGGGTGATGAATAATTTGAGAATTTGAATAATTGAGACCTTCCTCCTTCTGGCGATGTTACATTTTGACCTCCGGCGCGAAATAGCTTAAAAGCTGAAGCGCTATCAAACCATTCTACTACTACTACGTACTACTGTAACTTCTTAAAAACGTCAGAATAGTAAAAGGGAGTAGCATTTTACAGTTTAATGCTTTAGGGTCGCAGTCGTCAATAAACTCGTCATTAATTCAATCTCGGCTTACTCCTACAGTTCATAAATTCTCGACGTGTAGTTTATGAAAAGAGTTCTTGGATCAGATCGGAATTCTTCGGTTACTTCAGAGAATTTGAGTCCAGCGTTCTGGGGTCATTCCTGAAGTTTTAGTCAATTCAGAGATCTTAGCCTAGTGGTAACGGTTCAGAGTACCAAGATTGGAGCAGAGAGGCGCGGGTTCGATCCCAGCTCTGTGCGCCAGATTCTGCGAGGAGGCCGGGCGATTAAGCAACCCAAAATTTGAAGCATTGAGTTGTGAGTTCGAGACCGCAAAATGTTGTGAATGTTCTGCGATCTTGAGAATCGGCGACAGGCCTTCTGCCCACTAAACGCTGAAACCGCTATTTTTATTATTTGAGAGTTGTGGCGCTCTCGTCGGCTGTAACCTATTTAGGCAAACTCCAGGTTTCCACATTCGTTGGTCACCAAGAGCTTCGTGACTGCAGTGATAGGATGCCGTTCCATCTCCCGCCCGCGAACCCGATGATAGATTATAAACTAATCGAAGGCACATTTATCACTCAAATTAACGTATATGAAAATATTCAAAAAACAAATCTCTCATATTCTATAATTTTCTATGATATCCGTCAAAGTTATAAAAAAACGAGATGAAGTTTTCCCCTTCCATGTCTAATGAAGGGGAAATACTAATTACTACTACTAAAGTAAATACTACTAATTAAAGACTGCTGCTCTTATTGCCTCGATAAATCTCACTAATCCACTCGCTCTGAAGATTCACCATTAGTATGAATAATACTCTATATGGTGCACGAGAGTCAAATAGTTGCGTGAGAGAGTGTAAACTTGTCCCTTGAAACATGTTCAGAGTATAAAGAACGGTGTTCAACCCATACCCATCAATGTTACCATACATTGTTCCCGTTTATATCTTGCAATGTCACGCATTTATCCATACTGTTCCATGCATGTGTCAACAATGCTTGTCTGTACAAGGCTATGGCTCATGTTTTATACAAAATTCCAGAAGGATTACTAGAATATGGAACAAGAACCAACTCCCAAAGCCGCGGCTATAAACTAAAAAAACTGCAGTGCTACTCATCCATGCGATAACACTTCTCGCTCCGAGTCACCGACATATGGAACAGACTTCCTGCTGTAATCGATGACTCTCCGTGTAAGAAACCGTTCATGAAAAGACTAGACAAAACTATGCAGAAGTATGTGTTTTGCTTAAAAGTGCATCCCACCTCACAAACTAGTGGATGGCCGCTACTTTAGCTTCAACATTAGTCTTGGATACGTCTGATCAACAGGCCAGTTCTCAGATCTCCAGGAAATAAGTCAAGAACATTATAAAAATCGGCGACATGCTAAACTGGGCCTAAACTTCAACGCCGATGTTAGGCTACTATATGCTATGCTATGACGTCTCACAACGAGATGCAGCTCAACAGCGTTGTGTCTCGCAATGCACATAGAGTATGGAGGTTCTGACAAATATCTACCCGACACTGAAGCAAGTAGAGCTTTGATAGCTGAAAGTAGATAGCTTCTGATGCACGAGTGCATTGTCTCAGCCAACTCATGAGTGATGGGAGGAAACCATAAGCCGTTCACGCTTCCTCACGAGCATTGATACGACGATACTGTCGATACAATACCTCGACTCCTATCCGCTCATTTGAAGGCATCGAGCTCAAATTGCCTTGTGACAACAATTTTGGGTATGTGATGTTTTCACATACATTGAGCGTGAAATTTATGTAAATAAATCTATGCATAGCTACCATCAAATTCATCTAATCTCAGTAAAAGTATCCGTAAATAAACGTTCCTAATCTATTGCAATTCGTTCCGTGCTAACTGCAATGAATGAATCAAATATTTATTAATCGCACTATAAAAAGTGTATTTTGTACCTTGATTAGGCGTTCGTGTATGCATAGACGTACGCTTAGAATTTCCATCTCTAAGTAATTAAGCTCAATTAGTGAGAATATGCATGCAAAAAATAACCTGATTTGACGAAACGAATTCATCAAACCTCACGAAGATCATTAACTTTAAAAATATCAGATCGTCAGTCATTATTCATAAGTTAGGTAAAGGGGGAATTAAGAGAAGTTTTATCTCGTGCTCGCAGGTGCAGTGAGAGCGGCTGCTGCCATGTCCTGCAATCGGTGGTGCGTGGTGGCGCTGCCGCTGCTAACCTCCTTACGAGGTGCCGGCCTGACGCTCGGGAGTCGGGACGGCTGCGGCATAGCAGTGCGTACTGTGCTGCCTCATGACGCTGTCAGGGCTTGTCGGTGTCTGTGCAGGCGATGACTCTGGAGTAAAGCCAAGGCAGCTAGTGTCAAAAGCGTGACATAACTTGCTCGTGTTGAAGTAAATAAGGGTAAAGCGATTCAATAAATTTCATTTAAAAGTTTCGTATCGGACATTATAATTACCACTTTTTATGTAAAATTGACAGTCGGAGGAACTTAGGACTAGTTCGAAGATAAGCTTCAGCGCTTTTTTCCATTCGGTGAGTTTAACTATTCTCCTTTTTATATGAAATGAGCTAATATCAAACTGTTCTTACAATTGTAAATATACATTTCTAGCATTTTTTTCAATAATTAATTACTATCGTACATCACATTGGTATGTAGATAGTGGGGTACTAATTTCCAAACTTTCATTTTCACGTTACATAACTTTTACTACCGATTGTTTATTTGCTTCGTCTGTTCGTGCATCTCACGTCACTGACGTGGAGCACGCGCGATCAAAACGAGATATGGACGCGTAATTTTTTGAATGACTTTTTTAATGTGATTGATGTTGAAAATAATTTTATAAAAGGCTTCATTTACAATCGTGCAATATTAGTTGTGAATCAATTGTAATCCAGCGAGTGTCATCATGAACTGAACCGCGATTATCGTGTCACGACGTTCATGAAAGGATCACGACTAATTTTCAAACCGTTCTTCGTCATATTTTTTTCGCCAGCCTCACACCTATTGTAGAATAAATTCTTAGATTAAGATAATATGAGTAACTTCTAACAGTTTAAACTGAGTCTTGGAAGCCGGAACGTAAGTTCTTTAAATAAACTAAACCAAATATTCATGTGTACCCATCTTCCTTGTGCCCCGATATTAGTCAAAGATGAGTCGATTGCCGGTAGCTTTTAACGAACCTATACAAATCTCAGAAATGCAATTTCATTAACATTGAAATGAATAACAAATGGAACAACATTGAACATCCTTTCCAGAATCACAAGCCTTATGTTGCGGATGAGGAATACATTTAATCAGAGATCGATGAATTCCACTTCGCAGTTTTGATACTTGCATGCCGTGACAACAAGAAATTAATCTTCACCCTTAGTTAATATTTACCTAAACTTCATTAGAGCTAATAAAATGACTTGATTTGTAAGCTCAGAGGAAGGAAAGCTTAAAAGATTAAGTATATGTAGAATAAAATGACTAATGGAGAAATAAACGTAGAAGTTTAGTCGTGGTGCGGGATGCGGCTTGTAACGGACTGGTAACGGTTAAATGATTACTCAAGAATAAGGGGCGACAGATGCGGCCGTAGCGTGAGAGTCTTGCTTACTTTGTATCCACGGCGCGGACACTGCGAGTTGTCGCCTGGTGTGATATGTTACTGTAGAGGCCACGTGAGGCGGAGATGTGAAGAGGTACTAAGTCAATTGCAGTTTATTTCAATGTCATTTGATAGACTTGCCTACTCAAATACCATTCAATTTATTTTAGTTTACTCGGTTGATTGAAGTCAATTATTATAATATAATATGATATAATATAATAATATAAGTTTTAATAAAATATGATACATCTTGTTCCCTTGATCCCTAAATTCTCCGTGGTTGATTGGAAAACAATTTGTCTCGCGGCAAAATCTTAATTTACGCAATGCCACACCTTCACCGCACTAGATCATATAGAAACAACGACAAGCAAAGCATCTTAACACTTGCACTTTGATTTTCATTAAACTTTTTATTAATTACCCGTGTCGCATGACTAGTAGACCTGTATTGAAACCTCCGAGTCATCGTGAAACCTGTTATACATGCACGACTTACGATAATTGTACAGTAAAATGAACGATATGACACCTTCTGCATCACGCGTATATCTATGGTCGCTGCGTTTCGCTTTTCACGGGCCCACTCTGGGATTAACTGAATTACTTTCGCTATATTCTCTGCTTAGTTTATTCAAGTATGTGAAAAATTTCTAATCATGGTAACGTCGAGCGTAAATCTTTCATGGTTCTCATAACAACTCAATGATAAAGATGGAATTGACGATCAAGTTCGGGATATTTTGCTGCGTGTATCTCAATATGAATAATATCTATTATTACTATTTTTTTATTTATTATTATCCGATTTATTATTATATAATATTGACTACTTCATACAACTTTAAACTGTTCACTTATAGGTGCCATTTTTTATCAGAAATGGTTGGCGCCAATATCCTAATAAATATTTAATATAAATATATCATGCCTGCCATCCGTACTAGCCGTTAATGCATTCCTTGGCGCCTGAATGCTCGAGCCATACGTGGAGGTGCGGCCTAGAGCCGACAAAGGTATTCTTACGCACTCCATCTATTTGAGCTCAACAAATCTGAACTTGACATGATGTTCATGCTCGATTATCTAAGACTAAGAACGATATAAGTGTTAAAAATCGTGAGTGTGCAGGTTACCGTCTAGTGGCAAGAGATGACCACGAAAGAATTATGTTAACATTCAAATGTTGAAATAATTATCTGAGTTATGTTCCTTATGTTTTCATGTCAACTTATTTCTTGCGTTTTCATAGCAACTTACTTCTTGAATATACATACTACCTTGCATCTTGTGTTTACATAGCAGCATATTTTTTGTGTTTTCATGTAAACATATTTTTTTCATATCAACTCGTTTCTCTTGGTTCCAATTCGAAAAAGCTGTTTGAGAAGCTTTATTAAGTTCATAGAGAAATAAATGTTAAGACTTGTAATGCCTCGTACCATACGAACCTGCTAGACGTCTAGTAGCTATTTCAATCTAACGTCAGTTTTGAGAAGATGCTTTCGAAGGACCTGTTTTTAGATTTCCTGCGTGAACAAGTCACGAAAACTACAAGAATCACAGGCCACATCAGGCCTACTCTTCAACGCCAACATCACTATGAAATGATATGATATGATATCATATGATATGATATGATAAGGCATGATATGATAGAAGACAATATTTTCTGTTGCAAGTAGATTTACTTACCGTGATAACAAGACACGATGCGACACATATTTTATATCAAAACATCAGTCAATCACACTTAACATCACTTGAGTACTAAAAATCGACTTTTGTTTCAGTCGAATTTTCCACCCGAGCATCTAATCATAAATGACCACGAGCTCACATGGCTCACAAAGTAAACATGAATAAAATAAACTCGTTCTTTCACATGAGTGAGAACGTTAAATTATAGCCTGGCTGTAATTAACTTTACTTGAAACTCATCTTGTCGTAATGGTTTCATTGAATAATAAAGTGTGTCCAGACGTACATCAAGAAACTGATATCATGCACTTGATGAGCGTCCGAGAGATCTCACTGAAAGTTCTGTTGTATGAATTACTGCGGGATAATTGCTTTGAGATACTCTCCACTTCCGATGAAAGCGTAGAGAGCTAATTAGAGAGCAACGCCTGAGGACCATATCTAACACACACACGGCGCGTGTCCTCCAGAAGATACGGTTGTTTCAATTAACACGAAAATACGACAACGAATCGACGCATATATCGCACAAACGACTTTCTAATTATCTGTGTTAAGAACGCATGACCCCATTTTTGCTGCAAGGATTTATGCTGCAACACCTAGACAAGGGTTAAAAATCGCCTCAATGAGTTTGAAATTGTCAAGGAATTAGTTTTTTTTAATGAAATATTTTTGCGATAGGAGTTTGCGACCAGGAATACTAAAAAATTCTTTTAAAAATTGTATTTGACATTACAATTAAATAAAAAATATTCTCATTAAACTGAGCGATGAAAATACCAACTGACAATATTATGCCAAAGGAGAAGCTACAGGGAAAATTTATCTAGTTGTGAAATCTAGATAATTTCTCATTTCCGACGCGAAGTAGCGAGTGATATTTAGAGCGTATAAGGAAGGAGCTTCTCTGATCGTATGGAACAGAACGATACAGTTCAATTACTGTTCAGTAGACAACCACGTCAGGGTTGTCTACTAGCAAACTCCTATCGCAAAAATGTTTCATTTAAAAAAACTATTTCTTTGAGAATTTCAAACTCATCAAGAGTGCAGCTACTAACGACGAGACAAAGTCTAAAACTTGATTGAGTTAGTGCCACAGAGAGGATGAGCCTCTGATTTTGAAGGATACAATTCATCTTCCATACATCGAATGTCGTGAAGATAGGATGAAACAAAATCATATAACCTGTTCGTAAGTATATTATGATATAAATTTTATGTTTTAGCTATTTTAAGGTAATTAAAATCCTTACATTGAAATAATGCTAACATCGGTCTAGACGACACCATGTCATCGTGCATTTGCGTTACGACTCTGCATGGCCGGTCGAGCAACTGATCAAACATCATGTCCGAGATTGTTTAAACACCATCAGTTATTATTTGCTTGTATTGTGTCTTACGAAGTAATACTCGACTATTGCCGTAATAAATACATTTATTATATAGAGCAGCCTCAACGTGTCCAAAATAACAACCGGTAATTTATTCATTAAAATAAAATTCGATTCTTTATATGGGGAAAAAATCACGGGACTATGAATCGTCAGCATGACGCGCGTCTTTCTCCAGAGAGGAGCTCTATGTGACCTACTGCCTGGTTATTCTCCGTGGACTTTTCTTCTCTAGCTTCCTGACCCAGAAAAAAACGGTAGTAGATCGGAACTCCTAAAGGGCAATCGTCCTGCAAATGAGCGCTTAATAGCACTCACTTCATACGGAGGGCTTGCCGCTGCTGCAGGGTGACATTAATGAAAATTATGATTGACATCTGCTTGCTGTTCCCAGCCTATCATACTCTATTGAATAACCTTGTAGTTATAGTGACATTTTTTTAATAAATTGAAATTCATCTGCATACTTATTTCATCACTAACGTTGTCAAAAAATGTTTCAGAAACCTTTATCTCTATACCGTGTCCTGTCACTTTTTACCCTTTTACTTTTTCTAGTGCTATTTTTCTTAGGGTGAATTCCCAGTTTGCTTAATTTGATACTATTTCGCAGAATTTAAGTCAGATCTTAATTGCTATTGAAATCATTGAGGCAACGTAAACTGAGTTCAGGCGCTCTGCAGAAGACAGCTGTGGTCGAAGCATGGAACAGTATATAGAGCTCATTCTAGCTGTGCACAGCAGCATACTAGGAGCGAGAATGAATATTATATACGTGTGCTCGCAGCAGCACTGCATTACCGTTACTCAAGTTACTCTGGTGCAGTTTTAAAAATGACAAAGCCTCCTGCAATTTGAGATGCTCTTTTCACAGTTACTGATAACGATGTTAATGTCTATGAGAAGAATACGAATTTAATGAGCTTATTTACGTCTGATGATGAAGCAGTCATGTGCAGCGCTGTTGCCATCTTACAGAGTGACTATAGTGCACTCCTACTCTGGATACGTGGTAATAGAATATATGCAATCTCAGTATCGTATTCGAAAAACAGAATTATTTGATCAACTTCCACTATTTAGGATCACGTAAGCAGAATGCCAGTAACGTGGCTCTCCCAATTTGTTGAAACTTGGGAATTATCAAAAGACTTTGGGAAATAATGCTGGGTCAGAAGCTATAGCTTAGAACAATTGTGTAGCACTCTCAGTTTCGCAAAAAAAAAATATTTTAGAAGCCAATTCCTTCACTTGAAAAAAATTGCATCCAAATAATAACATTTCAGGCATCTCTAAATAAATGATTGTTTGGGTTTCATTTAATGAATATTCTTTAAAACTATACTTTTTGTCCCGCAGATAATCGAATAAAGTGCCGGAATGCAGCGACTGCGCCGCCCCCTGCTCTGGATCCTGCTGAGTGTTTGGGCTGTAGGGGGCGTTGCCCCCTCGCCCATCTCTCCGCTGTCGTGTGAGGCACGGGGATGGGGGAAACACGTGGTTAAATAAATATTAATTAACACGCCGTCCACGGGTGCGCTCCCCCGTGGACGATACCATTTGAATCTGACGGCTTAAGGTGCTTGTACACGGGGACAGTACTGGCGGTTAGTAGATCTGAAAAGTGCCAAATGTCTGCCTCTTGTTGTCTATCCCGCAAGTAAGCTTAGACAAGAGGCCGCCGTGGCGGTAACGACTAGATACCGGCACGGCGGCACCTTAAACTTGCCTCATGTCTAAGCTTACTTGCGGGATAGACACCAAGCGGTAGACATTTGGCATTTTTCTGATCTACTAGCCGTCAGTACTGTCCCCGTGTACAAGCACTTTAAGGCACGAGAGCAATATTCAGCAGTCAAAGGTTAAAATAGTATTTACATTCAGTAGTAAAAGGTTAAAAAAGTATTATATTTGGTAGTCAAAGGTTAAAGAAGTATTTGCATTCAGTGGTAAAAGGTTAAAAATAAATTTGCATTCAGTAGTCAAGGTTTAAAAACGTATATACATTCTTTAGAAAAATGGTTAAAAATGTTTTTGCATTCAGTAGTCAACGGTTAAAAACGTATTTACATTCATTAGAAAAATGGTTAAAAATGTATTTGCATTCAGTAGTCAAAGGTACATTCAGTAGAAAAAGGTTAAAAAAGTATTTGTATTTGGCAGTCAAAGGTTAAAAAAGTAATTAGAGAAACTGCATGCAATAAAGGTATTTATGTTAAATTTATGCAATCAGACATATACGCTTGAAATTATTAATTATCTTCAATTTAAAAATTTTCGTCCAGCAATTCATTTTCCTTGCAGCTTCGGATGGACTAGCAAGCTTTGATGAAGGGAAGGCAAATGAGCGCGATTCAGCAGTGCTGGGCGACGACGAGCGGTCACTTCTGTTCAGAAGTGACGAGTACAAAGAAGAGTTAAACGAAGTGCTTGGACCAGCTCCACTAGATGGTCCCGCACCCTCGACACGAAGGCCGTCCAGTAAACCAAGCCTTGCTTCTGGTGCCTCTGGCTTGACGCGTCCGGGGTACAAGATCATTGAAAATCAAAGCAAAGATCCGGCAAACAAGCCTGGAGTAACATTTGAAATTTCCCCAGCTTTTCCTGTTACACGACGACACAGTGAAAATTTGGAGGGAAAGCATTCGAAAATTTCATCGGAAACTGTGAAGCAATTACAACAGCAGCTCCTTGATGGTAGTGATGTCTTGCTTCCTTTGGTTTCTAGGTGTCAACTTCACAATAAGTTCATGTAATAGCCCGCTTTTGAATAACATAAGTCTGATGATCTAAACGATAGAACACGATCAATTCTTAGATGAGTGCAATTAATTTTGGAGATTTTGATGGTACTTCTATATATAAAGCTGTTATTATTTATTATTTTAAGTTAAGATATGCACACGTTATAATGATTTCGTGTTCCAGAGATCACTGACCAAACAAGGAGTACGTCAGATGATCCAGGGACGTTTGATGAATATTTTTGGGACACCGAAGGGGACGCAGACTATCTTCAAGAAGGGTTCGTGCTAAAATTGAATCTGTTCATAGTGTAAATACTAAGTAAGATGAAGGAAAACGAAACTCTAGTACTATCTCGAGGACGGCAGATCAATTTGAGTCCTCTAACAATCATTGACTTTCAGATGCAAATTAATACGCACCTAGCTGACAGTAGGTAAATAGTAGAAGTCTGATAATCTCAACGTGAGAAATCAATAAATAGTTGAATTTTGGGGACATTCTCGGTTTAAAACGGTCATTATTTATTGCCTTAAAACAGGTGAAAAACACATTAAAGCAATTTATGTTCCGCAGGTCAACGATTAAACAATAAAGCAATAAAGGGAGCCAGAAATTGCGTGCTTTAATGGCACGTTTTGTTATTCCCTTTTGTTACGTTAACGTTCATAAGTGAAAGTAACGGTCCAGCATGTTATTTGGAGCGTCATCTGATATATATGCTTCGTTAGTAAATGTTATCTGGGAACTGTGTGTCGTTTTTCATATGCTTTTAGTTCTATAATAATAATATACATTTAAAAATTACTTTTTAAAGACAACACTTCTAAAGAATCTAGTGTCTCCAATCTTACAAATGTACAATGAATTTCTCATTTAATTTTCAAATAAAAAAATTAGTTTTTCAATTTTTTTAAAATTATTTTTTCAATTTTTTTAATATTGAAAAAAAAAATTTTAATTTTTAAAATCTTTTATTTTGACATTTGATTCGTGCATTGTCTCCAACTTTACACAAGTGTGCAAAATTTCATATCGATAGGATAAGTAGAAGTGTATTAAATTTTGATTACAAGATTTGTAGCAGACAGACAGACAGACAGACAAACAAGAAGTGAAGTTAAAGAGAAGTGTTGTAAAAAATTAGTTTACAATTCTATCGATTTGCGAAATACATATTAATTTTCTTTTGTACCATACCTCCATAAATATATCCGAAAATTTTGTTACAGATACGGCGAGGCGACAGAACTTCTACAACCTTCTGTGCAAGTCAAGGAGAATCCCGACGTTATGAAACCAATTCAGCAGGATTCTCCAGAAGCACTCTCTGAACCTGAAGATCGGGAAAAAGATAAAGGTTCCATTAACATCGTAATCACCAAAGCAAAATCAAAACTGGACAACGAAGAAACGCTTAAACTTCTTTCTCACTCCAAGGTGGGCGTTTCAACGTCGTTGCTAATTATATTAGTTTCAGCGGAAGCATTGATTACTTTGTCAAAAATTACTAAAAGCGTATTTTATTGATGGATGCTCAAAAACGTCAATAAATAAATTAAAATTTTTATAAATTCAATTTGAACAAACTTATTTTTGTATGTATTTGGAGTGGTCAGATAATTTTAGGAAGTGCATGGCATAACTTGTAACAATTCAAAACTTCTCATTCTGCACTGCATTGCAATACTTTTCACGCTCAAAAAGGAGGAAAACAATTTAATCGAATTAGTCTACTAACGTTGTATCCACACATCGCCATTTTTGTTAAAATAGTATCGGACCACCGCAGGACACTATTTTGTACGAGTGCACATTGTTAATTAGGACGAGTAAGACTGCTAAATCAACTAGCGTGGAGATTTAAAAATGGAATTGATTTTAATATCGAACGATTACCTATTCGAAATTTGTTTAAAAACACTATTGGTAAAGCAATGATTGTTATTAAGGGAATTTATTGAGTATAATTATTACATGTTTCTTAATGCAGATTGATGCTCAACACTTGGGTCCTCGAATGACGTCATCAAGTGACTTGAATGCTGTTGTGTTGTCGGCTGTGGAGGCAGGAAGCCGCGACATAAATGATCAAGAAATGCAACAAGTTATAAGAAAGGTCTCAATGCTGCGTAAAATATTCCTGCTTTCAACACTATTGGTATATAGTTCAATAGTTTCACATGAATGATCATGAAATGCTACAGGTCATAGAAAAGGTCTCGGTGCTCCGTAAACTATTCCTGCTTTACAGCACTGTTTAGACAGTTTAGTAGCGGAGTTTGCGTTCATGAGGCCATCAAACCTAGGGCCGATTTTGGACATCGCAGAACATTTATATAGCTTGTTGCGGATCTCGAACACGCAACTCACTGCTTCAATTTTGCGTTGCTTAACCACGTGGCCTACTAGCCGATTTAACCAAAACTGACGCAGAAAGCTGAGATTGGACCCATAGGTCGCTTCTGCAACCTATGGGTTCTGGTGCTCTGAACTGTTATCACTAGACCATCTAGTCATTCTAGTGTATTATAATGATGTGATACAAATGGTATCACATCTTTCAATAGTTTCGGCAGCCTAGCAAATATTTCTATTCAGGCTCCGATTTGTCTCTGGAATTTGTAGGGAGAAAACTTTTCATATTCAAAAAGTTGACAAATAAATTGAATTTAGAACCAATTTTAATTATACGTATGTGAAATACTTCCTTGCCTTGAAAGATAACGAAAGAGTTAGATCGGAAACGATGAAAAACATCGTATTTTAAATATCATTTCTCAGTGTAAGATCTTCCAAAATTGAGAAGAAAAAAATTGTTATCCAAGTTATATATAAAAAACCATCATTGTTACAAAATAGATTTCTTCTGAGTCAAGTAAATAAAACATAAATTATTAACAATTGCACTTTTAGACAATGACGAGTTTTTATTTTCCAGGTGATGGACACTTCAGAGGAGACTTTCCCTATCAACAATACCAATTTCTCTTCTCCTGACGGACGTGAACTACGTAACGCTTTATCAAGCCTGATTGCTGCTCCGCAAGAGTACCTGGCAGAGGGTGGCTATAAACAGCCCTCTGATGTGTCTGTTGGTTACATACCCCTTTCAAAAAATTCCCAACTAGATCAACTTCTAAAGATCCTGGGAAATAAGGGCGGTACCCAGGCAAATGTCAATGTTTTTATCATTAATATCATTCCAAAGCAGACATTGGATGGCAAAGAGAATGAAACTAATACACATTTGACTACACTCGATTCTACAAACCATAACCATGAGGGAAAAAATCCAGCAGGAAAACAGGATCCAGTTTCAGTATCAACTCTTAATGGGCTGACATCAGAGCGTAAAACATTACTGAATTTGTTACCGAATTTTGTGCGAGCTACGACAATATCACCACTTGTTTCTTTGTCCAACGATTATTTTCATGAATCCTTGGGAGTGAAATCGCCTGCATTGGGAAAGTTACCAAGTGGTGAATTCGAATTGAGGCACGAACAGTACGCTGATGAAGATGATCAAAAAACACTACGAGAAATCGACAAATTCATCAGTTCAACCGAAGAATTGTTTCGGCAGCAGGCAGAAACTCTAAAACCAACGAACAGTGTTGAGAAATCTACCATTCCAGAACTTTCCCGTCTTCCGTCGGAGACAGTCGAGCCAGCGCTCGGAGAAGCGCGTAGACCAACGAACAAGAAAACTAATACAAATAATCAAGTAGATACTGGGGAGACTGGGTCATCTGGTATTTCTTCTAGCCCTACTTCTGAAGTGATAGATATTCTGCGCCTTGATTCTACTGTCAATGATGGTGAGATCCTCAAGTTTTCAGAAAACAGTCAATTTACCGCACTTTCTCGAACAAACAAAACCACAACGGACAAGAAAAAGTCAACTGGTTATTTGGGCAATGTACAGGGAGTGATGAAAGCCCTGGCTATCGGGGCACTGCCGAGTGGTGTTGCCGTAGCCTCAGCGTTTTGGCCGATGTGGGCTCCCTTGGTGTTCGGGAAGCGAAGGAGGAAGAAGAGAAGTTATCCAGCAAAGTCACCTCATTCGGATTGGTACAGTATCCTCAATGGATCCCGCTATAACTCGAGGAGTAGGTTTGAAGACTTTAAGAGTGGGCGAAAGACTAATTCAACCAAGCATGGTTCCGAAAATTCTATCATTCGAACGAGTGATCTAGCTGCCCTTATCCAATCGGTAGCCCCAAGTACTATGAAAATTGCAAAAAATTCCTACACTTCTGTTAATCCTTCGTTGTTCCAAGATAAGCTAACCACGAAAACACTGCAAACGAAGCCCCGTACACCTCCAGAGAAACATGCAACAGGTTTGAAATTAACCACGTCATTCCCTCTCATCACAGACGAGGATGTTGGAGTGAGATCTACGTTTTCGAAATTGCATTCCTTGCTGGCTGAGGCGACAACACGTGACAGTGTCTTCATGACAACCCCTGTTTTCGGCGATGGAAAAAGTCCTACGGAAGATGTTCAGTTGGTGAGTAATTTTTTATCATCAGCTCTCAGTGGGTGGGATGATGCCGAAAGCAAGTCGTCCGACGAGCAAACGACGCAGAATTATATACAACTAAACGTTACGGACATCACTGCTGATGAAGACAGATTAGGAGGGTCTGGGAGCCCAATTGTACTAGTGGACAAAGAAACTGGTGAAATTAAGCCCATACTGAACGTTAGCAAAAATGAAACGGATCTCCTGAACCAAATCGATGGAGATTTGAATACAAGATTGGACTTGCTCAGAAACAAAACTGGGTCTACTACGGATCCATCGAATACAACGCAGGTCACTACGCTGCCTTCTCTAAGAAGCACCTCCAGTCCAACTACTACGACGACGACCACCACCACCACCACCACGACTACCACCACCACGCCACGCCCTTCAACCAGCTCTCCAGGCGTATTTTCAATGATAACATCCGCCTTCCAGAATCCTTCACCTGAAATAGCGAGCGCGGTGTCTTTCGCGGGAACAATCGCTGTGTATGGGGCAGCGGCACTGATGCCTTTGTGGCTGCCTCTTGTTGTTGGCAAGAAGAGGAGGAGGAAGAGGTCGACAGATTTCACTGATTATGAAAATAATATCAATGAGCATTTTGAAGCAAACATACGTAAGCTTACCGGAAAGTTTGCTCCTTAGAGCGAATACCAAACATTTTATCCTCTTGGGCTCTTTAATCGTCACAATAAATGCTGCTACACCATTAAATGTGTCTAAAAATAGTATTTTTGTTGGCATTATATTATTGGCACGTCATTTAAAATAGTTACCGTACAAAAATCAGAACAAACCTTAACTCTTGTTCGGCTTAGATCAGCTGGTAAAATCTAGTGCGGGTGATTGTGATAGATAAGCTGGTAGTAAATAGAAGGCTCGAGATATTGTGCCTTCAATCTAATTCAGCAGTTAAATAATTGTTATTTGTCTTGTTACAGCTTCGGCCAGTTGAAAGTGGTGTGAAACTTTCATTGAATACTGCTTCAATTCGTTTTTTTTGCTGCAATGTTAGAACGTGCAGATAACAAAATCTTTTTTAAAATAGTGTTGTACGTCTTTTTGAATATCGGGCATTTATCAATAATGGGTTATGAATAGTGACAAATAAATGTCAAGGAGAAAACATATTCCCCGCAATAATAAACACCATTAGGGATTTTTACACATAAGATCCAATTAAGTTTTTATTAAGAATACAAATAATAATTATTCTGCATTGAATGTAACCTCCTAATAAGTCAAGAAACTATTTATAAATAATTCAGTAACATCTGCGAATGATTATCCGAATAAATATTAAAAGGATTCACTGCTAATTTTTACCAAAAAATTTTATGTCAACTAGAATTGCGACGCTCATTAATATTAATATGGAACAAAATATCGAGAACATGGGCTCAATAACTTCCACTTAAAATATAAAATAAAGCAATGGCCCTGAATAACGTGGCTTCTTGTTCAAGCACCGATCAATTAGGCAGCGCAAAAGTGGGTCAGGATGATGCACAAAAAGGGCAAGAAGTGCATCCCCCTGACCCGACCCAGCGTGACAAGGCCAGTTTGAACAGGAAAACAACTTCATGGTGTTCATCTGTCGTTGTTCATGCTTTTTCAAAATTATAGAAGCATAAAAAAAATTTGCTGAAAAACAACTTCATGGTATTCATCTGTCGTTGTTCGTGCTATTTCGAAAGTATGGAAGCAGAACTAGAAAGCTTGTTATTGCTGCCTCTGATTTTCTTGATTTCTTGTTACCGAGTGTGCATCGTTTTGGTCAAATTATGGAGAACTGACACAGGATCAGTGATAACATAACGCTCCCTTGCTAGGACTATCTCCTGTATAATACCATGAAGATGTACAAAAAATAGAACTATTTACTGAAAAATGTTGTTATGGTATACACTTATATATAGACAATAGGCAACAGAATGCACAAATAAAAGTCTAATAACACACATCTTGAGCAGAGCGAAATAATAATGTAATTAAATATAAATAATATATTTAAATTGCGCCTAAAAGAAATAAAGAGTTACGGCTGCATTTTCCAGAACTAATATTCAAATACAAGCACAAATCGATCACATGACGTCTTTCGGTGAGGTTCCTCCATTCATGGACCGCATGCCAGTAAAGAAGAATATGTGAAGATTAGAGTTCCAATGTTGTTTCGTAATCAAAGAAAATAGAGCAGTATTTCAAAGCTTAAAGTGTGAATGTAACTCATTCGTTGCTATATCTCACTTGCATTGGGGCCTTCTAACATAATATGTCAACTGCCGGAGAAATACTTTGGTTTTGGGCGAAGAACCTGGACTGCGCGCCACGCAACACAGAGAAGCCAGTCTACTCGATGGAAATGCTGTTCCAGTTCACCGACAATCACTGCTTTGTTCTGCCATTCCAACCCTCAACTGAGATCATTGATGTAATCTGAAAACTGGGGAAAGGAACAATCAACTTATATAGAGCACTGAATTGCCGTTTGATGTTTATGCACAGCTGAGAGGACAATAAACATGTTACCTATACTTTAACAATCATGATTGTGGTTTTCATGAAAATTTTTTGATGCCGTTTGATGTTTATGCACAACTGAGAGGACAATAAACATGTTACCTATACTTTACCATTCATGATTGTGGTTTTGATAAAAGTTCTCGCCAAAATTCAATAATGCTTCGAGCTATTTTTCGATATTAATAAATTTTTTCAATAAATCCTTAGCCAAACAAACTTTTTTGACGTCTAGCATCTGTTTCAATTAAGCCATCGGCGGAATTAATATTTCCCAAACCTAGAGCACAAACCTAGATAACATTCCATAAACCAAACAAAAGGTAATTACGCTGTTTTAGTAAGATTTCAATTGTATTCAAATCCAATTATTCTCTCTCAAAAAATTGAGCAGCTACAAGCTGACAGCGCGCATATACATAAATATACAGCGTGATACATAAATATCTGTCTAAAATTTGGAATTTATGGTGAATCATTTAATTCGATAGTCATAAAATGATAAAATGAACAAACCTATAACCTAATTACCATTCCAAACTCAGGCTGCCTTGTGTAAAAAGTATTTGATTTTATAACAAAATTAGTATAAAATTTCTCGTAACTTAATAATCTTTACAGAAAAAAAGTCGAATAAAGAATATTATTTTGTAAAATTTTATTCATACTGTAGAATAGCACGTAAACCTAAAAAAATGTATGAGTAGCACAAATAATTTATTGCACTAATGATTGAAAATGTGAGGTAGAGGAGGTAAAAGATGCAAATTTCCGCATCAAGCCGTAACAATTTAAGCACATGCTAGGAAGAAGCTAATTACCGTCTAACCCACGTGATGTTCAGAGAATCATCCTGCAAAAACATTATACCCATATTATTCTGCCTTTAAATCGATGTAGTCGAAAAATGAAAGGGTCATATCATTAAAAAATATAACTCAGTACACACTGCATAGTACACATGCAGTGAGCTAGAGAGCGCATATTCTCGTCGACTAAAACTTGAAGTCACGGACGGACAGACGGACGGACGGACATGGCGAGCATAATAGTGCATTTTTTCCATAAATGAGAAAATGCGCTAAAAAGTGACACAGTCACTTACCCACAGCACCAGCAGAGAATGGACACTAATTAGTGCTGCTAGTGGACTAGCAGCACTAATATATGCATTTGCCCGGTCAAACTGAGTCAGGACGAACCACGCAAAGGCAAAAGTGTCAGGCAATGACGACAAAGTCTCGCCCATTTCTCAGCTTGTTAAGAAGCAACGAACTGCATTTTCCTTTATTATTCTTCATCGACATGTTTCAATACATCTGACCGTTGTCGTCGCAAGAGACACGTCTGACTTGATTAAGATTTAGTTTTGCCTGAGCTGGGTCTCGTACTTGGTCATGCCACTCTCTTTATTTCGTTGCGGCTCTCCATTGGGCACACATGAGCTATAAATCTCTCATTTGATTCTGATTTCTTAACAGTACGGACTGATTTCTTCTAAGGTGCTAAGGATTGATTTCTTCAAACTGCAAAGACCACTTTTGAGAAAGAATGAATATAAATTGACACTTTTGTTCTAAGTCTACTGTTGTAGTCACAGAATTCGGTGAATGATAGTCTAACATGCTTTCCTCTGTTTATTCTTTTAATGAAAATCCACTAAATCCTCCCAATTTTCGAAGATAAATTCAGCCTATGCTATAACGAAATTTCGACCTTATTATTTAATTTCAACAGGAGGAGTGGATTGAAAGACCTCGTATTAGTTTTGAGGAAAATTTCTGGGTAGTTGCATCAGGATTCTCATAACAAAAATGTTACTCTCCATCGACCAGAATTTGTGACATCTCGCACATCAAGCTCATCATTGGTGAGTGAAATGTTTCAATAGAGCTCATCGTTGGTGAGTTAAATGTTTCAATCAATATCATTATTGGTCAGTTAAATGTTTCAATCAAGCTCAACGTAGGTGAGTTAAACGTTTCAATCAAGCTCATCAATGGGGAGTGAAATGCCTCAATCAGGCTCACCAATGGTAAGTGGATCGTTTCTAAAATCTGAAATTTTCACAATTAACACAAAGTTCGTTATAGTATGGAGTAGTTGTGCTCGTAATTGGTTAGTGCCTTCTGTTAGTAACGATTTTTCTTCGATTTCGTCAGTGGGCACAAATCATCGTCTATGTAAATAAGTATCAATTTTTTAAAATAATCGAATTCATTAGATAATGAATACATTAATAGGAATAAGCCATTCCATTAGCATGTCCAAGTAAATATTTTAAATGGATCTCTTTTTAAGTCAATCGTTACTATTGAATGGCATAAACTTGATAGCGGGACAAGATTTATCAAGGGGTACGGTATACATTATAATTTTAATGTTTAGATTAATTATATTTTGAGAGAGGCTGCCTTAAACGTCAACCCGGGAATTTACATCACCACTAGCTTTCCGAAGGAGCGTGAAGTGTAGGTTTTGAACTAATTGTATTGAGATAGTCTAGATATTTGTGCAAAGAAATCTAATGAATATGCCTATAATCATTCTTTGGTGTAACATTCAGTACAGATCGTGAAGATATAATTTTTGTTTGTCTAAACGTTCGTCTCTTTTTTCCTAAACGATATTAGTTACAACTTTTAAAGTGATTGAAACGACTTGCATTATTATTTTGTATACGTCTCTCAAAATTGTAGTTGACTTCTAGCGCTGAAAAAAAATTCTTTCAATTGAGAGTTTTTTTACGTTATGAACTCTTATTCAAAGCAAGTTCGGCATTCCACTCTGTCTTTCGGGTTGTAAGATTGCTGAAGACCAAATTTTTGCGATTTAAATTTATTATCAAAAATGAGAAGAAATTTTGTCGAATATCCTCTGTTTCATTGATGCAGTATTTACTGAATGAGATTTATGGTTGGAAATAAAATTTCAACTAGTGTTGTAAAATTTTCCCGAGTTTGATGCATCGTTGTGGCCACTTCATTGGTCGATTTACCTTTCTCTGAAAAACCGGAGTAATGTTTTATAACAGGAGATTTGAGTTTGTTCAACAGCATATAAGTAACTACCACTTTTACATATAATAATATATATACGTTTATTTACCAGCCCAATAAAACCCTCACTCTAATATGTATCAACCCACGTGTGTACATCATTCATATGGACACTAAAACTGCCTAATTAATCTCGTATCAATATAAATGCGTCTATTAATTAGCACATGATAACTCCTACTCGGAGGACTTATATAACTCATCTCGCAAGAATCGTTCGGTAGAATTTATTTCTGAAACTGATAGACGATTAAACGGCCAACTGCATGAATTATGATATTTTCTTTGTTAATAATGTAATATTCTTCTTCTCAGTGAACCCGCGAGCAATTTATGTAGTAAGACACGATTTTTTCTCGAACAATGAGTGGCTTTTGATATTTCAGCTAAATAACTATGTAATGAAACCTTCTAGAAGCCAGCGGTTCCACGAATCGCCGTTCTCTTGTTTATTGTTTTTGCAGGGCAATACTCGCAGATTACATGGAGCCTGCAAGGAGAAATGTTCAGGCTTGTACTGTCGGAGCTGCGCAACAGACGCAATTAATTAGTTCTCGTGGTGTCGGCAGTGCGCGCCATCCCTTCAGTTCTCGCACTGTCTGCATGGCGTTAGAAGATGCTCCCTAAAGCCTCCGTCAATGTGGCTTAATTTCCAGCTGTTGGCATGAGTCAAGCCTGTCAACTGTGATGTTACTCATTTCCT